CTCTCGGGCGCCCGGCTGACGACAGTGGGGCGCACGTCCATTACGCCGCCTCTGCTGTCTTCTCGGGAGGCGGCTCCTTCCTCCTTAGCGGCCAGGTGGATTGCACGGCCTTTGGCGAGACGGGCCCCTTCCCGGCTTGTCTCAAAGAGCCAGCTGATGGCCACCCCGGGGCCTTCCAGACTGCGTCCCCGGCACCCGGCGCCTATCCTAAGTCCATTTCTCCCACGTCCAGCCTCCCAGTAGCCTTCAGCACATTCGAGTGGATGAAAGTAAAGAGGAACGCCCCTAAGAAAAGTAAGTACTTGGGCGAGGGGTGCGGGCACGGTGTGGGGGGGTGTTGCAGAAGAACCTCCCCTCGGGAGCGCGTTGTCACTGTCCCTCTAGACAGCAGTTTAGGTTTTATGAAGACAACACCTTCCAGTGCCTTGTTAAAAGAGGCCAACTTCATTAAGAGTGCCCAAGTTCTGGCTCGGAAAATGGGCCAGGCCCTGCGGATATTAGAGGAAACATCTTTCGGTGGAGCATGTTCCTAGCATGACTGCTCGTACAGACCCGCTGTGACTTTGGTTCTAACCTTCCCTCACTGCCCCGCTGCCTTCTCTCTGCCTCCTCTCGCCTCGCTGACGCCCTGTCTCTACGTTGCAGGCAAAATCGCAGAGTATGGAGCCGCTAGTCCCTCCAGCGCGATTCGCACGAATTTCAGCACCAAGCAACTGACAGAACTGGAGAAAGAGTTTCATTTCAATAAGTACTTGACTCGAGCCCGACGAATTGAGATAGCCAACTGCTTGCAGCTGAATGACACCCAAGTCAAAATCTGGTTCCAGAACCGCAGGATGAAGCAGAAGAAAAGGGAACGCGAAGGGCTTCTGGCTACAGCCACTTCTGTGGCCTCCCTCCAACTTCCCCTCTCGGGTAGGAGCCCCACCAAGTCTGGCAGAAACCCCGGCAGTCCTGCTCAGGCCCAAGACCCTTCCTGAGGTCCAGTCTTGAGGGTGAAGAACCTTGGCCTGCAGAAGTCACCCCTACTCTCTATAGATTTAGGAGCTGGGTTTGGCACGGAAGGAGGTGTGAGCAGAAATGCATAGGCATTTCACTTGGAAAGGAGCTACAATATAGTTGGCTTCTGAGTTCCAGGTTGGGTGGTATGTGCAGATACTGATTTTGGTATCTTTTAAGCCATTTGTTCGCATTTTATTTGTGTCTTATCAGGGAAAGGTGCCCCATCTGCCAGCCCAGCCCTGCTGCTGTTGCCTAACACAGTCTCGCAATTCTTGGATGCAGAGTGGCAGGTCATTTAGCAGTTCTGTCAACCCTCTGACGTGTTCAGAAGAGCACTTGCCCAGAAGTTTTCTAGTTTTAATTTAAAGAACAGGCTACATGTATTCAGCTTTTTTGAGATGACCAAAGGTGGTTAGGGTCCCCTTGATGTAGCTAAGCTGCTTCATTGATGATCTGTTTACACAGTTGCACTCCAATTTTGTTTTAAAATGCAGTTTCTACCTCTCCACGTGCCTGAGTGAAGATACAATCACTAGTTAGTAGCTGAATAAATTCACAGGGTGGGTAAAGATTAGAACTTGAACTACCCCTAGACATCAGTTACTCAAACTTGAATGTAAATATATACAGTATGTATATTTTTTAAAAAGTTTGCTTGCAAGGAACTTATGTATGACATTTAATGTCATAGCATGTAAAGGGTTTGTAATAAAATGACAGAATCTACTCTGCATTTCCTATACTTTTCATCTTTATTTTTGTTTAAAGTTGATTCAGCATTTCTTCTACTTGAAATTTCTTGATTCTGCTGTGGGAATTTGTTTACATTGATAACTTTAAAAAATAACATTTCTTAGAGGCTGTACACACTTATATAGCAAGTTAGGGACAATTATATGAGCAATTGAAAGGAGAAAACTTTATCAAATATCCTAGTAACTAAGGAAATGCTCTCCTTACCATAAGTGCCCTGCTTTTATGGTGGGTGTGGAGACTACCTATGACTGAAGGACTAGGGACTCATGGTGGAAATGTTGTGAAGTCAAGGGGGTCTACTTGTTCCTCACAAAAGGGAGAGGAAGACTTTTTTTGGTTAATGTTCTTCGAGGAAGGACACTGCACATCAAAAAGTTCTCATTTCCAAAGTCAAGAATTACAAAGGAGGCTGGGAGAGGCCAGTAATCTGGGCTTTCCACTTCCTGTTATTCAGACTGAGCATCTGGCTTGAGAAGCACAGAGGATGCTTTTCTCTGTTTAAAATGAGACATTTTTTCAAATTAATTTCTTGGAAGAAATACACAGAATTTAAGTTGGTAAGAGGTATACAATTTTTAAGCCTCACAAAATCTTTCATCTTATATCTACTCAGCTCCCCATAGGTGAACAGACTTCTAGGTAATCTCTCAGAAATACGGGGGGCGGGGAGGGGGGAAGCAAAAGGAAATTGGTATTTGAGGCAGTTGTCAGGTTAGGTAATTTCCATCACATTCTTGCTACATCTTTAAATTCTCTATAGTCAACAGAAAGGCTTAAAGTCCCAATTAAGGCAGATAAGAACCTCAACTCTTTAAAATTCGTGGATTTCAATGTAGTACTTCAAATCTAATAACCATAGTGAATTTTCCTATAGAACAGCAATGTGATTGGTTCTCTTAGAAGTTTCAAATTAACACTTAAGATCTTATCCTTTGCACCTACAGTTTAATGGAGTTGAAATAAAATTAGCTCTGACAAACTCAGCTAATCAGGGAAAAGAGATCACTTAAAAGTGGGTCTGTAAATATTATTCTTATGTTTCATCATCTGTCCTTTCAATAACCTGATGCTAATTGGACTTTGTTTAAAACAACAGCGCCCCCACCCACCAGCTCTGCAGCACCTCAAGGGTTCCCCTGCAGTGGTCTTTGACAGGACAATGTTTCCTTTTTGATAAGCATTCAAATGTCCATGTAAACAAAACAAAAAATCAACCTGCTTGGTCATTTCCTTAATCTACAACCCTTTCTCTGTGAAAATAAAGCCTTTCCTTTTGAAGCTAGTACTAGCACTTAACAGCCCTGATGGATGTCTTCCTTGATGAAGGTGGCTGTTTTGACATATGTATTAAGCTATTCTATGAATCAGGCCAATATTAGCTATTTTTTGACCAGCCCCAGGGATCTTTAAAAGCTTTCTTAATGCAGATCACTATACAGCTATATTCATTGTTAGGAAGAGTTCTGGCTGGAGATCAGGGCACAAGTAGGTGACCTCTGGAAGGCCCTTCCAGCAATGAGAATGCTCCTGAAACAATTTAATAACTTTTACATATTTTAGGCCTATCATTAGAAGAGTTTGGTTCTAAGAAAACATAGTCTCTAGGATTACAGTGATACTCTGTTAATAAAGGAAAAGTAGACTTGAGACATCAAATTCATCATGTGCATCATTTACAGAGCAGTTCCCTCTCCCACTGTGCAGAGCCTTGTGTCATCTTGTTTCAGATTTCCACATAGTATGAGGTTACTATGCAAACTATTAAGCTGCTAATACAACCCCATTTCTATTCTACAAGATTTCAAACTAAATATGCTAATTCACCCTCCAGTGATCTGTTACAAGAATGAATTCACAGTGGACAGATCTGGCTGTTGTATAATTAACTATTCAATGTTCCTTTGTCTTCACATAATGACTGTGTGTCTTCTGGATTCAGGATAATTGGGAATGAGGAAAAAGAAAGCTTTTAAAAACATAAAATACCACAACTGGAATATTAGCAAATGAAGGCCTTGCTGATGTAAAAATACTAAATTGTCTAGATTTTCAAAAGTGTGTGTGTAATTTATTCTGCCTCAAACTTAAATATGGTGAAGCCCACCAGCAGAAGAGGTTATGTCTGATTATCTTGTCATCAGAAAAAAGGAAAGCGCTCAGGTGAGTTGCATTAGCTCTGAAGTTCTTAATTATTTCTAATGGCCAAAGAAATGCTCTATATTTGCTGAATATTGAATTTGAAAACCTCAAGATCTAATCAGTTCAGAGAGATGTTTAGTCTGACCACAGGCCTCTCAAGAAGAAAAATGACCATTGTTAAAACTTTATTTGTGGTTTTAAAGTAAAACCATGGTGGCCATATCTCACAAATAATGATAAATCTCCATCTAAATAGAAATCAAGATTTTCATAGTTCTTACCTTTGGCAATCATGTTTCTAAGGAATGACAAGGCAATGAGTATGCAAAATAGCTCTATTCAACATCTTTGTAATTGCTTGTTATTTAGAAATATAATTTCAGTAGAAACCATTTAGCTAAATTCAGTAAGAAGAGGGAAAAAAAAATCAAAAGCTGGGTAGGGATGGAGTGGGTGGGTGTAGTTTAATGGTGAAGCACTTGTCTAGCTTGCTTACAGTGCTGTGGGTTCCATCCCTAACGTAAGGAAATGAAAATCTTGCTTCAAAATGTCTAAATATTGGTATCCTTTATTTATTTATTTATTTATTTATTTATTTATTTATTTATTTTTGGTATCAGGGATCGAATTCAGGCCCTTGTACTTGTGAGGAAGGCAGTGGAAACAATGGACTAAATCCTGGACCTGTGTCTTGTATTTTTTAACTGTGTGTGTGTGATCCTGGGGATTGAACCCAGGGCCTCATAAGCATGCAAGGCAAGTGTTGCACCACTAAACATACACTCCAAACCCTATCTCTTTTACTTCTAATAATCTTTTTTTTTTTTTTTTTTTGGTGTCGGGATTGAACTTGGGTCCTTGCACTTGCATGGCAGGCGGGGGAACCACTGAGCTAAATGTCCAGCCCACTTCTAATAATCTTACTGATATAATTTGAAAAGACAGACCAAATCTGCTGACATTTTTAAGGCATTTTTAGAGGACATTGGGTCCACTACCTAGCATATGTTAGTCAGGAGTTTGTAGAGCCTAAATCTATACAATTTGGAAGGATCTCTTTAAGAAAAATACAACAGAAATTATGAGGAGAGAGGAAAGACTACAGAATTGCTAAGGCATCTCCTTGGACCTGGAAGGGCCCAAGTTAGTGAAGATTAAGTTTGATGATAAATATGAGAAAAGGAAAAAATAGAAACAAAATCTTTGCAAATAGAGAAGGATGGAGGGGGTAAAGGGACGGCAGGGGTATGGGGAAAAATGAGAACCAAGATCTGTTATGTAAAGGTATGAGATCTCAGTGATGAATGTAATTGTACTGTATACCTAAAAAGTACCAATAAACTCAATGAAAAAAAAGTTTGATGGCAAATCCATCTCAGCCCCTTACCTGGAGTTACTGCTTTTTCTACCCTTCACAGTCATTGCCAGTGAGATGATGGCAGTGATCAATTTCCCACAACATCTTGGAGTCAGAGCCACTATTTCTCTTCAAATGCACAAAAGAGCAAACAATGGGCCCATGGGTAGCCTGGTGCTCTGTTGCCCTCCCCTCCCAGCATCTCAATCTCATTGGCTCTTCTGGGCCCCTGGCTACTGACTGGACTGCCCTAAGAGTGGGATTTCCAGCTCATCTTTCTTGTGGATCCTCTGTTGTAATTCCTTGTCACGGTAAACAGAGGAGAAACATAATGTGGAGACAGCACAGCTACACTGTTGGCTTCAAAGTATTTTCTGGAGGATGGAATCACTGAGGCTGAGTTAGAGGAGCTAAAGAAAAAAAAGAAAAGAATATCACTATACAGGGAGGAGACCTCGATTTCAGTACTGGATACATTTTCTAAAACTTTCCTTGATCTCAGTTTCTCTTATAACACAAAGCAGGCTGGTCTAGATGATCACTAAAGGCCCTTATCACCTTAATATCCCTCTATGATCTTTTACTTTGCTGGTTCTTACTGAAAATTTAATAATACTATAGTTCTGTAAGATTAATATCAACAAGCCTATTATTAAAATAATGTATGAGACTTGAAAAACGATTAAGCTATCTGGCTTTAGAATGTGTGTGTAGTGTGATGTGTGAGAACTAGGTAATGTTTCCCATTGATCTTGACTTGATGAGTAAAAACTACCAAAAGGGCTAGCTCCCCCAAATTTACTACTTTTCCATAATCAAATTAACTAGGGTTTAATAAGAGACTTTCTAATTGGAGGTAAGCACCCCTTAACCAGCTTTTCAACTTTCTTGTCATTAATTTCATACTTCAAAGTTGACAACTTTCAGAATACAGGAGTAGTTATGAATTCTTTCTCTTCCTTTAAGATAAATGAGATTCCAAAGTGAAAGCCCTGTTCTGTTGAAGAAAAGCAATATGGATAATCAAATCTCTTTTCCTTTCCATTAGTCACCAAGTCCTGTCTACATTTCCTCCAAGATGCCTTGCATGGTTTCCCTTCCTTGGCTCAGGCTTTGTCACCTCTCACTCAGAAGCACCACTGATGCTTTCACAAGTCTCCTCGCTGCCGCTGTCCTTCCCAGTCAATCTGTTTCAAAGTCCTGCTGGTATTGTATCCTTCCACCTCTCAGTAGCTCCTGATTTGCAGAATGAAATTCAAATGCTTCCAACTTGGAATTCAAGTTCTTCAACATCTGCATCAACCCATCTTTTCCATGTTAATCTCACACCATTGTCTGACATCAAAGCTTCGCTCCAATTAATGGGATCTATTCATTCTTTTGCCAAAGAAATCTAGGCTTTTCTGTTTTGGAACCTTTTCTCATGCCATTCTTCTCTCATAATTACTCCCATCTCTCTCTACCTATCCAGAATCATACTTCATGGCTCAGCTCTAATCCCACACCTCTGTGGATACCTTTTTATATCATCCAAATTGAAAGCGAACTCAGCTTCTGTAGCATCTGTTCTCTGCATTACTTGTTGATCATTTAGAATCTCCCACCATTTCATGAAATCTCTTTTGCTGTTTCCATCTTCCTTCTTTTGTCATTAGTTCTCTCCCATGGATATATAACTGACCTCTTATTGAGTATCATATATAGGATAGTCCCTATACTATTTGCTACATGTTGAATATGGTTTTATAACATCAGAGCTTACAGTTCAACAAGGATCTCTTCTAACAAGCATAGAAAACTATTAAGGACTTATTTGCTAAGTATTCTCTATATTTCATTATTTATACCAGAACAGAAATGATCCTTGACCACACAATAAAATACAAATGGGAAGGCTGGGGATGTAGCTCAGTGGCACCACGCCTGCCTCACAAGCAAAAGGTCCTGAGTTTGATCCTCAGTACCAAACATAAATGAATAAATAAATAAGTCCAAATGGGAGCCTTAAGGCTGAAGAAAGAACTGTAGATTTGTCCTTGTCCTTTAGGCACATTCTTTATATTTAATATGTTATAAATCAAAAAGCATGTGACGGTTATCTAAAATAACTCCTTTTATCCATACAGAATATATTAAAGTACATTGCACTTTGTACCTTTTATAAAGGTAAAATGTTGTTTGCACTTACTTGGTACAGTTGCTGGAGTAGCTTATGGGAATAGAACCTTTGGAGAAAACACTGTTAAAACCAAATGAGGTCCAGTGTAAGGTTTCTTAAACAAGAGATTGGGGACAACAGAGTGTAACGTGTGAGAGTGAACATCGGAAGCTGACAAGTCTGGTCCCAAATCATGGAAGAAATGATTCAATGCCATTCATCTCTCTGCCTTCTTCCCTTAAAAATGGGAATGACAGCCAGGTGTGATGGCACATGCTAGTAATCCCAGGGATTTGGGAGGCAGAGGCAGGAAGATTGCAATTTGGAGCTCAGCCTGGGCAAGATCCTGACTCAAAATAAAAAAATTAAAAAGTCCAGGGATGAAGCTCAGTGTGGGGCCCTGTGTTTAAAATCCCCAGTCCTGAAAAGGAAGGAAAAAAAAAAAAGAAAAAAGAAAAGAAATAACACATCTACTTCACTGAGAATGACACATGAAAATGAAAAGAGAAAATTCATGGATTCATGGATTGCTTAAGACAGGACAGGGTATAAGCATCGCAATAGGCACCTAGGATGAGAGGACAAGGACTGAAGGAGAGATTATTTATACAAGCTATGCAACGAATATTTATTGAATTCTCAGGTTCTATGCACAAACCCTTAATAACTAGAACTAAAGAGATATTGATAAACGAATAAGAATTGCAGGGAGGGTATTAGAGAGAACAGAATTTAGGGTTCTTTTTGTGGAATTGGGAATTGAACCCAGAGCCTCACACATACTAGGCACGTGCTCTACCACTGAACTATTTCCTCAGCTCAATCTGAGATTATTGATAAGTTTAGCAAAATATTGGTGGTACATGATAGCACAGGAAAGTAAATGGCAGTTAGGGGGTACTTACTGTGGTTTGAGCAAGTACAGGCCTCTGTGTGAAAGCCTTGATGGTCAGCCTGTGGCATTACTGGGAGGTAGGAGGTGGGACCTCGTAGAAGGAAGTTAAGGCATTCAGGGCGAGCTCCTGAAGGGGATTGTGAGTTTCCCATCTCTTTGATTGAATCCAGGGAGCACTGAACTGCAGCCCTAATCCTATTTATTTATTTGTATCAGCTATCAAACTCTGGACCTTGTGCTTGTGAGGCAGGCGGCAGCACCACTGAGCTAAATCCCCAGTTCAACCCTAATCTTTTTTAAAATTTCACTTTTGGGGCCAGGGATTTGGCTCAGTAGCAATACACCTGCCTTGCAAGCACAAGGTCCTGAGCTGGATCCTCAGAACCAGAAAATAAATAAATAAGTAAATACATAAATAAATAAAATTTTACTTTTTTTTCAGCTTTAATTGAGTTTATTGGTACATTTTAGGGATACAATGCAGTTACATTCATTGTTGGGAATTTGTACCTCTACATGACATGTCTTGGTTCTCATTTTTTACCCTTGTCCCTGCCCTCCCTTCACCCCCTCCCCCCATCTACAAACATTTTATTTCCATCTTTTCATTATCTCACATTTTTTTCTTTTCCCTTATTACCCTTCCCCTACCCATCCCACCTTCCCTACACCTTTAGCTCCTTTCTTCCCATTTCTCAGTGTCAGTAACCTTATTAGGATCTTTTGTATTATTACAGATTATTCACACCAGAGAAACTATTCGGTATTTACACAAGTGTGCCTTATTTATTTCACTTAGGAGTATATCTTCAATATGTATCCATTTTCCTATGAATGAATCTATTTTCTCATTCTTTATGGCTGAGTAATATTCCATTTTATAGAAAAACCACATCTTCTTTATCCAGTTTCCAACAGATGGGCAAATGGGCTGTTTCCAAGTTTTAGCTATTACAAATTAAAATTTCACTTTTGAGACAAGGTCTTGCTAAATTGCCCAGGTTGGCCCAAACTTGAAATCTTCCTGCTTCAGTGTCTGGAGTAGCAGCTGGGATTACAAGTATGTGCCACCATGCTTGGATCTTTCTTTTCTTTCTTTCCTGTCCTGACAAAGAGGTGAGCAGCTTTTTCTCCACCGCAT